CCCCAAAACCCCAAAACCCCAAAACCCCTCATTGCAATTATATAGAAATTTTGGTAAGTGATTAATTAAAATTTTAGTAAATTGAATTCAATCTTAATCTATATATTACCTTGATTTATAACTTTGATGATAACATCAATTGAATTTTCTTGATTTTAATAACTCAAGCTCATCCAAGCAGAAGTCCAACTCTGAACTAAATATAAATTCTGCAAGCATCTCAGAGCATTGCCTAGGAGTGAGCTCTAAAATTTCTTCCTCTTCCCCATAACCATCATCTGGTTGCTCCTCTTGACTTTGATCTAACTATTGCTGAGAATTTAGTATATTTTGATTTTCATAATCTTCCTCTTACTGGAAGTCTTCATCATATTATTCTTCGTAGTAGTCGTTTACATCTGGAGATCTCTATAGAGATTCTTATTCGTTTTCAGGCTGGTATTAATGCATTTAGTGTAAATTATGTTGATTTTAGAATGAATTATCTGCTTATTAAGCTAGCATAAACTGATTCTCGTCATAGTACTGATGTTGATTATCATCTTCCACGAAGCTCATTCTTTGCTCGAATAAATCACCTCCATTTTCTTGGTTGAAATGCTAATTAACATCATTTTCTGAATATTGCTCTTCATTTTGATTAAGATCATCTTCAAATTCCTCTTCGTCTTATATTAATTTCCCTTGACCTAGTTATAGCTAATCATGCTCTTATTCATAATCTTCATCTTGCTCTTAATAATACTCCTATTCTTAAGCTTACTCGGTATTTAATCCTAACAAATCCATGTCCTCTTGAGGAATTTAGTTTATTTATGCCTAAGGAACAGGTTTACTAGCTTAATAATTATTTTCTTCACTATCATCATCTAATACATATCTGTTTTTTTACTATTGACTGATATTTTACAGTTCAATTTTGTCCTCCTCACTTGCATATTCATCGTCCTCAAATTATTAGTATTTCAACATTTAACTTGGGTTAAATAGTTAGTTTTAGTCAAACCTATTATGCTCAGGCAGATATTCATCATTTTGCTATTCAAATTACTCCATTAAATCTTGATCCTCGTTTATTTCATCAATTTCTTATTGTGAAAGATTCTGACTTAATTCCCCTTCGAACTCTTGGTCATCTTCAACTTCTTTGTTTTAATGAATAATGCTTTGTTGTTAAGTTTTCTCTTCTTTTTACTGTTCTTTAATATTTTGAGAGTGATTAAGATCGATTAAATCCTCATCTGTTTATTAAGGATCATTTAGATTTGAAATCATTTGTTGGCTCTCTTCGCTTATTTCATTCTAACTAGCTAGTTGTTTGTCCAAGCTGTGTATAGGTCCAATTTCTCTAGCGTTAGAGTCTGCTTCCATATAAAGTTAAGAAATATGCTGCTACTGTTGATTCTATTATTGGCTTTCATTGATTTCAAAGTTTTACTAAAATTCTTCCTCTTCTTCCTCCATAAATTGATTTTCTTCTATAGGAACATTCTCGACTAATTCAACTTATTATTCTTTGATAACTGCTAGCTTATCAGTAACTTATTGATTAAAGTTAAGATTTTACCTTGATTCAACTGGACTTAGCATATTATGCAGTTTATTGCTCATTATAGAACTAGTTCCTAATGATTAAGTCTTATTGTTATACATCATAAGATCGCCATCATCTGTTTGGTTAGCATACTTATTGTGTGAATTATGAGAAAGATCTGCTTCTGACAAGTCTTCTAAGAAATGACCTTGATAATTGACATTGAGCTAATTACTATTTTAAGGTTTTTGAGAAGATCCCAAGAAATTTTGTGGAGATCTGCAAGAATTGATATTAGACATCTCTAAACCTGCAGGTGAATACATTTACTATTCTTCATTTTAGATCTTATTGATTTCAATCTGTGGAATGTGCTCTATCTACTTTAGTTACTGAATTTAAGTTCGAAGATCTTCAATTGATTCAATTATTTCAGGAATTCTATTATCCTCTTGATTAATACTCTCTTGTTTTTATTATACGTTCAACAGATCTAAAAGTTAAGATAACCTTTAAATCTGATTATCTTAAAATTATACTTTTTCTTTTAATTGATGATAATTATCTTCAATTTGCTTGATTTATTATTAAGATTGTTTTTAAGTGTTTGATGAATTTTATTCTTAATCCCTCAATTGATCTAACTTTTTAAGAATCAAAGGTATATCTTATTAGATATGATTTATATTTGTTTCTAATGATTCTATCTCATTTTTGGAAGATTTAGCTTAATCTTCCATATTTACTTCTTATAAGCTGATTTTATGCTCTTGAGTAGCTAATTATTCTCTTTATTCATTAAGGTCTTATTTAACTTTGTCAATTTATTGAGATAATTTTTCACTTTGTACTTTAAAATCATTTTCAAGTTCATGCTTTACATTTTAAAGGTCATTCTTAAGTGGAAGAATGTTTTTTACTGAATCATCCTTATTTTAGGCTAATAATGCCTTAACCTAAGTGAACTCTATGCCAAAATGCTTAATCTACTCTTCTAATTTATTAACTCTTTAATCATCAATTTGAGGAACCTCCTATACTTATTAAGGCACATTTTGACTTTAGCTAAGATGATTTAATTCGTAATGAATTTCATTTTAAGATTTCACCAACTTTTAATCAAAATCATCTAGCTTCTTCTAAATTTCAATTAATTAGTGTTGGTTTTCTTATTCAATACTTTCAAGATTTTGTCTTAGCTATTGGATTTCAAGTGAAATATGATTATTAGTTTAATCAATATTTTCATCTTTTTATTTCAAGCCATTAATTTTAGAGTCAAGCAGTACAAGTTTACCATTTAGTTAATCATGCTAATTATTGAATGCTTCTATGTCGAGTTTAAGTCTCAAATCATTTGATATAATAGCTAGGTTTTCTCTAAAATGGGCTATAAATTCTTCATTCTAGCTATTATTTTATTATCTATCGAGTCCTTCTAGTTACTATTGTGCGATTTGCTCTATCTTTGAATCTAGCTCATTTATCTTTCTATCAAATTATTCATTTAGAGATTCGATATTTTAATTGATCTCTTCGAAATTTTCTTCATTTTAAACTTGGAATTAAAGTTCAACAACCTATTCTTTCATAGCAGTTTATACATTTCCTATTTCATTGATTTGCTTCTCCTTGTCTAAGATTATTTCCTCCTGACTGTGTAATCTCTCATCAACTTTCTTCAATTACTTTGAAATTTAGTTAATTTAGTCATCTAAATCTGATTTAATTTCCTAGATCTCAGTTCTATTAAGCTTCTATGTAATTTGTTGCTTTAAGTACTCGATATGATCTGTTATTTACTTGAAATCTTATTCAAGATTTTACTGATGTTCCTAATTTTCTTACTCACCTTGATTAATCTTCGCTTTTAATTCTTCAAATTGTGGATCTATTTGTAAAAGAACTGATTCAACGATTTGATCTTCATTTATTTGAACAGGCACTTGCTAGTTGTTGTGATTATCTGCTATCAATTGTTCGAATTCAGTTCTCATATGTGTTATGTCTAATTCAAGTTTATTCTGTACCCTTTGTATTGAAAGCTCAGATGTTCTAACAGACTATTCATGTGAATTCTAAATCTAGTTTAGCTATTCAGAGATATCATGCTGTATTTGCTAGATTTCTTACAATTCTTATTGAATATTATCTTACACACCTTGAACATTGCTTATCTGCTCATTATTCAAGTCTAATTAATTCTTTAAGGCATCAATTTCATTGGTGTCTGAAATTTATCTTTCAAGATTAGAGATCTTGTTCATATTTGAATTTAGTTATCTATCATAATTCTCTTGCTTAACTTAAATTTCTCCAATGACTTACCCTAATTTTCTGATCTCATCAAGCTATTAATTATCTTGGGTTCTTTTATTCATAGATTCACTTAGGATTGATAACTTTGAGTTAAATTAGACAATATGATCATTTAAGTCTGATTAAGTAGCATATTACTTCATATCTAAGTCATTTTTCAGTTCCTTTGATATTTTCTTCTTAAGTTGATCAAGTTAATCATTAAAGTTTTCTTGAAATGATTGCATTTATTCATTAATACTGTCCTTGGTGTCGATCAAATACTTTTAAGATTTCTCTTGTTTGAAACTAGAATCTTTTTGAAACTATTAAGTTTAAAGTTTGAAATCTTCCAATTCTAAACTTAAGCCATTTATCTGGTCTTTAGTTTCTTGCTAATTTTTGTCCTAAATCTTTATTGAATTTGTAAATTTATCATTCATTGTTTTGGATAGCTCAGACTTTAGCTAATGAATATAATCTTCATAAACTTGACTTATTATTTCTTGCTTAATATTTTCAATTTGAAGGGATAACTCATTTTATGTATTTTTCAAAGCCCTCTAAATCTTATTATCATTTTCCTTGGTAATCTTAATCTCAAGATTCGAAAGTTGCAATTATTGCTCATCTTAGCTTTATTTAAGTTTAGTGTCTATCATTTCCTGAATAATTTGTTCGTTAACATCATCCTTTTCAACTTCATCTTTAAGTTTGGTCAATTATTCTTTAATTAACTACCACTCTTCGGTTTTCTTACCATTTTGACTTTGAATTTTCTTTATAGAAAGATGGAGGGTTTTAGCATATTTTTGAATCTCTTTAACTCTTTTAATTATTTCTTCCTCGAAAATTTTTTATCTTTCCTCCATTGATTCCATGTTAGTGTCGTTTAATAAATTGAATTTTTCAAGCACTTTCTTTGCTATTGGGTTTTAAACATTTCTAGTGGCCTGAGAATTACTCTATCTCTTTTTGTTCAATTTTTGTTGATCAAATTCCTCATCAAGGTCGTTGTAGTCGTCGAGGATATCAGGTTAATTATTTTACTCTTCAATTGTTTAGACAAGCATAAATTTACTTTATTGTCGGGGCCCTAGATTACTTCTTCCTCTAGGCTATATAGTTTTTTGCCTATCTGGAATTTGATTCATAAAGTTGGCTTCTTAATCTTCTCCAAAATTTTCATACACATTTTACTCTTCATTTAACTACTAGACTTATTAGTTTTACTAATTTGGATAAAATCCTGCGAACTCTTGACTTTTCTGATTAGGCTGCATTTGCTTGTTACGATTTAAAGTAAGGTTAAACTTGAATTGCCCTATAGCTTTGGCAGTATTGATGCCCTGATTTGATTTAATACTAGCAAATCCTTAGCTACTTCCAGATCTGTTTGATGTTATATTGTTTAAAGGCTATTGAGATTAGGGGTAATTTTAGTTTAAATTTTTCTATTGTGCAAAATTATTTGTGCACTCGTCCAATGTCACTCTTTTGTTTTGATCTTTTAGCATGAACCCCTAAGCTGTTTAAGAGAGTTTTATTCCTATTGGCTACTATTCGCCTGAATTCTAATGATGGATATTAACAAGCTTCTAAACGAGTCTATTGTTTTAAAACTAGATATCTTAGTTATGATGCGCTGGTGGATTAAGTTGAAATTTCTGCTAGTGACTTTTCTTCACTAAATCTGATATATTTTGAGACCACTTCGGTGCTGATACTTGATTCTAAGGAATCTTGTCTCCATATAATTTAAGTTTCTGTTCGTGATTAAGTAAGTTCATCTATTCTCAAATTAAAGTTCTGAATGCTGAGATGTTTAGTAAAGTAGATTGATATTTGCAGAAGTGAATACTCCTTTTAATTATATAATTTGAATTTTGAATTTTCGGAACAATTACTAAGTAAGCATCTCGGGGTTTTGGGGTTTTGGGGTTTTGGGG